GGAACTTCACTCTCTCAATCAGTGACTATTTTTTTATGTTTAATCCTTATGTTGCTAAAGTTAGTAAATAGATAGGAAAGCATATTAGATTTACTTGTTTTAAACTTTTTTTTTATACATTTTTTTAGTCACTTCCTGGTGCAAATGATGCCATACATGCCAGGAGTCTTCAGAAAGGTAGGAGGGTCTTTCTCAGCTAAGCACACCCTCCTGTCTGCATACCTGAGCTAAGGGCAGATTGATTCTAGATTCCAGGACGTAAACTGATCTGATCTTACTTAAGATGGCCGCAGCCAGAAATGCTAGAGGGGTGTTTTTCAAAGTGATTTCCCAGCAAAATAAAGCATGGATAAATGGGGAAGTTTGCTTTGAATACTAAAAATGAATTAAATCATGTTTTTGGTCTGTACTACTCGTATGCAGTATAGTTCCACTTTAATGAATACAAAACTGACTTTAACTGCCTGTAAATCAGCTTTAAGTTGACTCTGGCTGCCTACATAAATCGTCCTTTGATAGTTGTTCAAACATTTCTCTGCTTTGTTAAGGCCTTCCTAAAACACAGGAAATAAGTTATCATGGACAGAAGAATTACAGTAAACTACCTTGAAGTGTTTGCTGGACTCCTTTCCAAAAAGCAACTTAGTAGAAATCAACAGAAACCAACAGCTGGGTGAAGATGTGGTTGAACAAATGTCTCTGCACTCCATATACTTAAAGAATTAATTCTCCTCCTTTAGCAGCAGACCTCTTTACTCTTTGATAAAGAAAGTACTTGGTTTAAAACATGATAGGACAGAGATGATCAACTCTGAAGTCAAAATGGCCAGAGTTTACATTCTCTTATCTGGTTGGGTGCTATGTTTGCCAAAAATGACAGAAAGCATGACAATTGCAATTGAAAAAAAAAAAAAAAGTAAAATTTCAGTATGTTTGTTTGGCCACTGACGGAATTTGGCATTGGCATTGATGCAAGTGGGCTGGCAAAGAGTAATAAAATCATGTTATATCATATCTTCTACAACCATAAAACCTGCAGAAGATAAACGTTTCTGCACAGAGAGATCAATTTCAAACAAAATACAAAATGAAACATAACCTTCTAAAATTAAGGTTGCCCCTTTTAGAGCATATAAATTAGAACTCAGAATTATATAATTAGCACCAACCCTGGATCATTTTAATGTTGGTCCAAAAACAGGGAGAATCCCTGCTGGTTTGGAATGTAATTAAATTAGACTGCTGCTGTTAAACACAGATTTGGCAGTTACCAAAGAGACAGGTAGCATTATAAAAAAAAGTTGCTGACAAAAGCTCTTTAAACTTCATAATAAACTGTTTAGTGCAGTTGGGGATGTCATGTTTTCCAGTCTCGAAGATATTAAAATGCTCAGAAGCTTCACTACTGAGCAGATCTGAAACTCACAAAAAGCACCTAGAACAAAGAAGCAGGTACACACACTACACCCATGTTCTTTTTAACTGCTCCTTAAAGCACCCAAACAGCAATGGTAATAACACAGTCTGCTCTTCCATTAGGTTTTCTAGTCAGTTTGGCACTTCATAGAGAGAGAGGTCCAAGAGCAGCACGTAACTGGCATAAACTGAGACAAATCCGTGTTTCTGTTGATCTGAATAAGGTGGGAGATGGGCATCTTTGGAGTTGTCTTCAACTGTAATTTTTACAGTTACCTCTGGAAAAGAAATAAAAACAAGTTTACCTTCTAAGTAATGTGGAATTTAAAATTGCTTTATTCATTGCATCAGTAATCTAACGCTGCCCTTTTTTGACCATTAAGGTCACATGCATACAGCTGTACAGCGTACATTCAGGTATATTTCTTTGCCTGGGAGTGCAAGGTGGATCATAGAGGCACGCACAGTCAGCCTGTACAATATAATGGCAGGCTGACTGAAGTTATGATTGTACGAACATATACAAAAAATCCCATCGTTTACATGTATACCAGAACTTATGCACTGCCCTGAATGCAGGTCTCCATTCAGGGCAGTGCATAAGTCCCGGTATGCATGGAAACAGTGGGCTTTGCATATATACCCATAGAGCTGCAACTTTAGCCAGTCAGTCATTGATTTGTACAGGCTGGCTGTATCTGTTGTAAAATCCATCTGTCACTTCCGAAGAAATATGCCTGAATGCACAACCTTCTTGCAGTCGTGTGCAAGAAGGATATAAAAAAAAAACAAACCAAAAAAACACCTGTAGGAAAATAAGGATCTTCACAAGCGCACCCTGGTATAGTGAGAATCTTGTCCTTTATTCACAAAAGCACCAAGCATCACAGACCAGATTTCATGTCCTCACAGGATCCCTTTTTTCAAGACAGAGTGACTGCCTTAAAAGAGGGTCCTTGCAAGGTTCCGAAATACTGACCTGTGATGGCTGTTGCTTTAATTGACAAAAAGGACAAGGTAATCACTATACCAATGCAGGCTGGTGAAAATCTTCATTCTTCCATGACTGCATAGTTGACCCATCCATCATTTCACTACAGCACCCTGCACAAACCTGTGGGCGAGCCTGTAAGGAATGTGACAGACACAAGTTCATTAATTAAAACAAAAAAAAAAAAAAAAAAAAAAAAGTGTTATGTGCTATTTAAATCTGCCAAGATCTTTTTTATTAAGATTATGCTGGGGGGGAGGGGGCAAGATTTTGAGAGTACAATATTATAGTGCGCTATATTTAAAAATGGATTGTACTGATTTGTACACTTTGCACATCCACTTTCTAGGTAGAGACCTAATTTTATCCATGACTTAACATGGGACTGTATTACCAGTTTACCTTTCTTGGAGCTTTGTGATACTGGATTACAAGGACTCTCTCTTCATACAAGGAAGATCTGGGCCTTTCGATAAGCACATTATCTAGCTGCTTTCCATATTTGATCCAAGCAACATACTGCATAGTCAATATATTATGGGTGGGTACAGTTTGCAATGCACTTTTGAAAATTGTGGGTTGTGATGTATCTTTTACTTGATAGCTATGGGTATATAAGCAGACACGGGCTGTAGGAGTGTTCTTATTATAGTGAAAGTTGCTCATAGCATTGTTTATGTGAAGGGGTGTCCCCCAGTATGTGGATACATACATCTATAGTCAGTAGCTAACATATGCAGCAATTGACAGCTGAGAGATGTGTTTATGCCATTGCTGGCGCAGTGTATGACTGCCAGTGTCCATTTAAGATGGCATATTATAATTAGATGGAGCCATGATGTGTTTTTTTTTTTTTTTCTTAACGGCAAAGATGCATTTGGCGTACAATTTAAGGTTGAGCTTTGACAGCATTGGATGTGGGACTGCCCACCCCCCCCTCTGTTTGATATGGGGGATAGCAAAAGAACAATAGTGGGCAGGTACCCATGAGGTATGTCGGTTGTGTCCCAGTGTTAGCCCTTTTATACGAGGCACATTTAGCAGATATTCCTTCAATATTCCTGCAGTGTTCTCAGTTGCGAGGAAAACCACAATGTGGTGCTACCAGATACTTCAAGGTCACTTGTTTGGCAGATGTGTAGAGTCCACATATCAATGTCATGCAGCGATTTTGGACACTATATTGGCAGAAATCTTCCAGTGAACTGTGTCTCTAGTCTACTGTCTGCACCCATTTACTGGCAGGAAGCCCCTATAGATGCCTAAATTAAACATTTCTCCCACTTTTCGCATTGTGTTTCTCAAGTGCAAAGCAGAACCTTGACATTTGTCTACACTTTTAGATTTACACGTCGGTCTAGTTTAAAGTAGAAATTGCATCAAAGAGGAACTGGTATCTAGTTGCTCCTAATCCTCATTATGTAAAATGGCAAAGTAAAAGATAATTAATAGCAATGGAGTCATTTTTACTATTTTCATTTATCTACCTCACCTCGAGATTCAGGGAAAGCCAAGAAACCCAGATCGTGTGAGAGCACTCCTGGTTTGGCAAGCAGGTCACAGGGCGGGGGTCCAACAAAAGGGTCTTACCTTTTTCCTTCTAATTATATTTTTTTTCATTTTTACCTCATAGTTTTTCCTAGTTTAAAAAAGGAAGTAGTGGCATCTTGTATTATATGTAAAAGGTTTGCTGCCCCCTTCCAGGCACACACTAAGTGGAACTTCACTCTCTCAAATCAACATACTTTTTAATCCTGAGCTAGCATAGTAAATAGATAGGAAGGTATATTATATTTACTTGTTTTGACTTTTTATTTTTTTTTTTTTACATTTATTCAGCCTAGTTTCCTAGTTTCATGCCTACGCAAATTGTGTTATATATCCCAGGAGTCTTCGGGAGGGGAGGAGGAGTTTTCTCAGCTAAGCACACTCTCCGGCCTGTACTTCTGAGCTAAGGGCAGATGGATTCCAGGAAGTATTTGCCAAATGAATCATTTGCCCTTACTCAAGATGGCCGCAGCCAAAACTGCAGGAGAGATTTTTTCTGAGTGATTTCTCAGCAAAATAAAGCACGGAGACATGCTTTGAATATTAAAAATTAATTAAATGGAGTTTTCGGTTTGTGGTGGTCAGATGCAGTGTAGATCCGCTTTACTAATGGAACTACTACACACCATCTGGTTTACACTCTTGTACTGTTCACAGTTTGGCAAAGCAGTCTGTATTTAGTTTAGATAGGGATGATTTCTGCTAAATCAGTCACTGTTGTTGTGGGTGTTACCACGGTAATGTGCTGGCTTCACTTAACTCCCTCCACCGGTTAGTGCACGCAAGATGAATAGGCATATGATCCATTTTTTTTCTACAGTTTAAGGTCAAAATCCTTCAAATATTAAAAAAAAAAAAAAAAAAAATTATTATTTAACTGCTGCACTGACCAAGGGACAAGCATGCACCAAACTAAAGTCAGCATTCACTTATTCAGTATTTGCAACTCAAATCATTCAAAAACCAATGTATCAGCAAGGCAGTCAACCAAATTGCATTTTTAGAAGAGAGATTTTTCTTTCAACATTTACTTACTATATTTTGTTTAACCAGATACCCAGCTGTGTGTGGTGGTTGTGACACTGTGAGGAAAGCTTTGGTTAGGCAATACACTATCAAAGTTAAAATCTGCTCCTCCATCCTCCATGAGGTCATTCCGGATAATAGATTCCATAGACTCCAAATCACATTCCAAGCTTTCAATCAACATGTCATCCAAGTCACTAGGCAGCATCTCCTGGTGGAGAGAGACAATACCAACTCTTCCAAAGCCATTGCAGCTATTTGAAGGGTAAGGACTCATGGTTGTCATTGGATGGGGTTGAGTCATAGGCACTTGTAATGAACTTTTCACTGTCGACAGGCGATTAATGCCAGCACTGTGCGTCATGGTACTCCCAGTTTGGGGCAAGGCACGACCATTGATAGACGTTTGCTGATTATGTGGTTGATGTGTGTGGGCAATGCTGTTTATTTTGTTATGGGGAGGCTGAGTGCCATAGGCTGGCATTCCAGAATTAGATCCCATCAGCACGTTCTGACTCAAAACTCTACTGCTAGCCTGTGAGACAGCAGATTCTGAGGGGGCTAGTAAATCATTATGTGGTGGAGAATCTGCTGTAAGCAGTTCCTTCAAAAGTCCAGCTGGAACATTATATGGGCCTACAGGCCTATAACCTGGTTTACTGTCCGGAACACTTTGCATAGGCATTTGTGAGAGTGAGTTCATGCTAGCTTGAGCATAACTATATTTCCTGTACTCAGGGTCAGGAGATCCCATACTGTTGTTGGGAGATGTAAATAAATAACCAGACTGCTGCTGCATGATTGAGGCCGGTGAGGACTGTGTTGAAACAGTCATTGAGGCGTTAGGAGACAAGAGGTTCAAGTTATCTAAAAGATTCTCCATGTTTTCAGAGTTTCCAATCTCTGACAGGCTTGGCAAAGTTGATGCCAACTTGGTGGTAGAAGGAGGATACACCAGGTTATGTACATCAGGATCTCCAAGGTCATCCTCCTCAGGCATAATTGAACTTGCATTGGAACTTGTCCTTGGCCGAAATGTGTTCCATGCATCAAAGTCATCATTGCTGTGGGAACTAGGGCTACCAGGCCACTTGGGGAATTGTGACCCTGGGCTATCACCACTCCCATCTTGACTTTGTTGAAGAGAAGCCTTTTTCTTGGCAGCTCTTCCTCTACTCTTTGCAAATTTACTGTTGTTATCCATAGAAGCAGCTCTTCGTCTAGGAGATTTTCCATTCTTTCCACCTTCTGGATTCAAGATCCACCAAGAACTTTTTCCTGTGCCCTCATTCTGTACTCGTACAAATTTGCTGTGAAGAGATAGGTTATGCCGTATAGAATTCTGAAACGATAAAAGAAAAAAAAAAAAATTAAACATTACATAAGAAGTAAATTTGTTAACACCAACAATAAAATAAAATGAGGATTTAAACACTTCGATGTTAGAAACATATTTAGGCTTGTTATGCAAAAATAAATTTCACACTTAGCATGGCATGCTACCATAAGTGTGCCAGCATGCATTTGCGGCGCATTAGGCCTTGTTCACAACAGCCCCAAAAAATAGGCATCTGGGGTGCAGTTTTAGCAAGTCAAACGTGCATAGAGAGACTGGGGAGTGTCTTTGACATGCTACACATGCTTAAAACTCAACAATTAACTCGCATTAACGCAATAGGCACATTTGTTAAGCGTCAGTGAATAACAAAAAGGCATCTGAGAGGACGTTGCTGGCTATCAAGAGAAAAAGTTTTCATTTTCCATTTCATTGCAAAGTTTTATACCCCTGCAGATTTTGTAATTTGCCCACTTACAAATAAATGAAGGCGCTATCATTTTTATCATAGGTGTATTTTAAATGAGAGACCGAATATCAACCAAAAATTCGAAAAAAAACACAATACAAATGTTATAAATTGAGTTGCAGTTCAGTGAGTAAAATAAATATTTGATCCCTTACCAACCAACAATAATTCTGGCTCCCACAGACTGGCTACGTAGTTATGTGGTACACAGATTAGTCCTGTCAATTTAAGAAGGTGCTCCCAACAACAACTTATGTATATAAAAGACACCGGTCCACAGAATTTTTTTCTTCCATTCAAACCTCACCACCATGGGTAAATGACCAATGGTAGTGAGATGATGGTCGAATGACCATCAGTAATAAGCTTGGTGAGAAGGAGACAACTGTTGGGAGCAATTATTCACAAATGGAAGAAATACAAAATAACCATCAATCGCTCACTGTCTGGAGCTCCATGCAAGATTTCACCACATGGGGTAAGGATGATCTCGAGAAAAGTGAAGGAGCTCGTGAATGACCTTAAGGCAGTTGGGACCACAGTCCCCAAACGAACCATTGGTAACACATACACCGCCATGGATCGAAATCCTGCAGCACCCACAAGGTCCCCCTCCTCAAGAAGGCACATGTACAGGCCCATCTGAAGTTTGCCAATGAACGTCTAAATAATTCCAAAAAGGATTGGGAGAAAGTGCTGTGGTCAGATGAGACCAAAATTGAGCTCTTTGGCATTAACTTGACTCGCCTTGTTTAGGGGAAGAAAAATGCTGACTATGACCCCCAAGTACACCATCCCTACAGTCAAACACAAAGGCAGAAACATTATGCTTTGGGGCTGTTTCTCTGCTAAAAAAGGTACAGGCTGACTTTGCCACATTGAGGGGTCAATGACGGGGACTTGTATTGTAAAATCTTGGATGAGAACCTTCTTCCCTCAGTCAGAACACTGAAGATGGGCCGTGGATGGGTCTTCCAGGATGACAATGATCCAAAGCATACCGCCCAGGCAACAAAGGAGTGGCTCAAGCAGAAGCACATTAAGATCATGGAGTGGCCTAGCCAGTCTCCAGACCTTAATCCTATAGAAAATTTATGGAGGGAGCTGAAACTTCGAGCTGCCAAGCAACAGCCAAGAAACCTTAAGGATTTAAAGAAGATAAGCTAAGAAGAGTGGACAAAAATCCCTCCTAAGATGTGTTCAAACCTGGTAACCAACTACAATAAACATCTTACCTCTGAGCTTGCCAACAAGGGTTTCTTCTCCAAGCACCAAGTCATGTTTTGCTGGGGATCAAATACTTATTGTGTTCACTGAACTGCAACTCAATTTATAACATTTGTATTGTGTTTTTTTCTGGATGTTTGGTTGATATTCTGTCTCTATCATTTAAATACACCTATGATCAAAATTATAGACCCTTAACGTCTTTTTAAGTGGACAAATTTACAAAATATGCAGAAGATCAAATAATTATTTTCCCCACTGTATGTGCAGATCTGTGCTAGTATGTGGATAGTGTTCACCTACTTGATAAAGGACTGCCGAGATAAAACCTTGGCTAAATATGTGTCAAACACAAGGCCCGGCAGGACATTTCAAGTGGCCCTCGAACCTCTCCTGCAACTGTAGCTGTGGCACCCCCCCTTGTCTCCACCACTACCTGGTATTAGCAGTCGGCACCAGAGAGGAGGATAGAACTCCTTTGCCAGATTCTGTGCAGCTGTGAAAAAGCTAGTCTCTGACCCCTTCCCCTCTTCTCAGCAGTTAACAGCAGGGAGAAAAGAATTTCCCCCTACAGATCCTATGCCTCTATGTGCAGCTGTAGCACCCCCTCATCTCCGCCTCCCAGCGTTCAGCAGACTCTGGCAGGTGACTTCAGCTCTCCTCTGGTCCTACTCCATGCATTTTCTGCTTCTCAGCTCTGTCCCCAGATTCTTCCCAGCAGTAGAACAAGGTAAGGGGGGGGGGGGGGCACTGAAATAAGGGAGGGTGGAGGACTCTTGACTTCTGATGGTGGGAGGCTCTGGACATCTAGTCTTACAGGTACCACCGGCAACATTGCTGATGTGACCCACGGTGAAATTGTGTCTGACACCCCTGCTGTATAACAATCCTACAAAATGGATCATTAACTGCGTAACACAAATAAAATCTGCCGATACAAAATGGATGTTCATTAAATGGTAGAAAGGACATTTGTGGTCAAACAAAAGTTGTGACCAAAGCCAACCAGAATATTAGGAAGGGGAAAAATAGATCTAAACCGAGAATGCCTACTTGGCTCATTTTACAATGTCCTGTTTGTAAATACCATGCCATTAAAGCAAAATGCATTTGATTCAGTAGGCAACTAGAAAAGCTATCAGTAAGGGCTCGTTCACACTTGACTTTTTTTCCAACTCTTGCCAAACGCCCCTATAGTGTTTGACAAGCGTTGGTCCGACATTTGCAGAGCGTTTTTAACGCTCCGCAAATGCTTCATGCGCGGTTTAGCAGCAGTTGCCAAGCGTTAAAAATGCCCCACAAATGCCTATAATGAAGTTTGAATGGTGTTAACGCTCCGCAAGCGCCTCACAACTGTGCCGCAACCGCACCGCAAACGCCAGCCAGGTGTTTGCGGAGCAGCACCATAGACTTGAATAAGAGGCTTCAGCTCCTCCGGACTCGACCAGAGGCGTCTGTTTTGCCGCGACGCTAACGCTCCCGTTTGAACAGCACTATGTGCTGCAATGTGCAGAATTATCCGAGGTGTTTTGGAAAATGGTAATAACGCTTCCCAAACGCCTGTCTGCCGCTTGCTAACAAGGCTAGTGTGAATGTAGCCTTAGTCTTACATGTATGTTTTGTGAAAAAAACAGATGCATCCAGAACATATTAAAAGACAAACTATCAATAATAAGCACAAAATATTAATTGGTACCCATCAACCAGAAGAAATGTGGTGGTCTTCTACAACAGGAAGTAGCTACTACTCAGCATTTTTACTGCAGGCAAAGTAAACCTTTTCCTTTCCCATTGCTTGCACTAACACCACTGCTAAACACCAGCTGAAGTATGCTGGGAAACTGGGAAACTGACACTTCCAAAGCATGTCAGTTTCTTTGGTCCCCCTCAGTTCCTTCTGTCAAACACCATGTCAGTATTGTTTCCTGTAGTGCCATAGGAGTCAGAGGGAGGAATCAGTAAGCCTCAGTGTCCAAATAAAAAAAAAAAAAAAAGTCACTAGCTTTAGCATCCCAATGAACTGTTCTGGTGACGTGAGAGAATATTATGAACGAGAGGTATCCTATAAAGAGAACTACAGGTCTCTGAGCCCAGGGTTAGTCTGTAAGGATAAGCAATGATGCCTGAATAGATATCATGTAGTTAAAGCAGCATCTGAGGTGCATGCAGACAATATCTTGTCATTTTTAGATCTGTATATGCTTGATATCACTTTGAAAAACGGCAGCCATGGAGGGCTCAGTGCAGCACTGGGCAAGGCAGAATTATGCTCAGGAATGTGTGAAAGAACTAGAAAAAATGTCTGCAATGAATAGAGCCTTCAGCCTGGGAAGCTAAATCCAGCAGCCAAGGCATTAACTGTTTGTCTCATTCCACATACACCATTCTAGAATGCACTGGCGCTATGCAATCATGAACTCATCCAGCTAACTCAAATGTTCTGCAGGCTCTTCATTGCTGACGGCTAAAATAAAGATTTAAAAAAAAAAAAAGAAAAAACCTTAATATGTACTTAATTGTGCCATAACGAGGAAACACACACATGCCCTGATCCAAATGGTTCAACAATATAACTAAATGCAGTTTACATGAACAAACAGTCATGGATCTAGTTTTATTTCTTTCATTCACATGCCAAGTACCAAGATGTGAGCGCTAAGAAATTCTCCAGGGTTTTAAATTATTTCACAAAAAGGTACAGTACAGTATCTTATGATTTCCCAGAACACAGATGTCTCCAACTACACATGGTAAAAGATATAGGAAGATTTACGGTTTATCTAGATTAGCCAATTGAATACACACACAGAACAGCTAGATTTAAAGTGGTTGTACAGGCTGAAGGTTTTTTACCTTCATGCAGCAGCTCCCCCAATACTTGAGCCTCATCGCGGTCCAGCTTCGGCTGTTCCGAGTCTCTGCCTCCTCATTGGCTGAGACAGCAAGCAGGAGCCATTGGCTCCCGCTGTTTCAATCACAGCCAGTCAGCCAATGAGGAGAGGAGGGTGGGGCCAAGCCACGGCTCCGTGTGTGAATGGACACACGGAGCAGCGGGTGACCCCATAGAAAGCTGCTTGCCTACAAGAGGAGCCAGGAGAACCGGCAGGGGGACCTGAGAAGAGGAGGATTCAGGCTGCTCTGTGCAAAACCACTGCACACA